ATTAATTCCAAGACAGTGCATATCTGTAAGCTGTTTACAATAAAACATGTTTGTAGCACAGGACACACAGTATAAATTGGTATTATTTCCACAATAGTAGTGAACTTTGAATGAAATTGACTTTTCCATTAATGCAAAGATATCCCATACGTTAACCTTTCTCTAACAAAATTGATTGCACTGAAATTCTCTTCCCCAAACTGAAGAAGTTTCTGATTAATTTTAGTAATTAATAGAATAATAGTTTTAGTAATTAATAGAATAACAGCAAAGTCCCTCAATCAGTTGTACCAATAACCAATTGTTCTGGCATTATTTTGAGGCATTTAAGGACCTTTTTCCGTACAGGCATACATCTAGCAGCAGGCAGATGACTAGGCCAAATACCCATTTGCCAAGTTGTTTAGGATAAAGAAAGGAATAAAGTATTGGGCTGAATAGCTCATATCTTAAACACACACCTTAATGTAGTAGCTCAGATGTCTCCCAGCCTTAGTCTGTGGGATAATGATTCAGCATTGTGTTTGTGCCTTTGTTTCACAAACTTCTTCTCCCTTTATCTAATTATTCCCATATCATTCAGCAAGCAGGAATTTAATCTTTCACATGACTATGCAGGCGTTGTAATTTACCCAGATGTTTGGGGTATGGAATGACTACACATTCATATTGAAAACAGCAAAATTTCACTTACTTGCATTGTGCTCCTATCTTTTACTGACCACTTGTTTGATTACAGAAATTTGCCCTAAAAAAAAAGCAAGGACATGATTAGATAAAACACCACACTTCTCCAACCACACAATATCAATTCCTCCTCATAGCCATACTCAGGAATAGTCAGGTAGGAAATGCCCTTTTTCAAAAGAACACAATGGGGAACAGGAGGATCCCATCTTAGGCTGCGGCTAAGACCGTCCTCTCAGCTTTTCCAGATGCAGACCTCCACCTGTAACAGTTGCATTGTCTCTGAATAGTTTGTGGCCTTTCTCCAGATGGTGGATTATTGAGTATTGGTGGATTATTATGACTCATCAGACAGCTCAAACTAAACTCTGTTATAGTCCCAAGAGCTTTTATTTTATTTTTTTTTTAATCTCAGATGGCAGAGTTCCCTAATCAAAAATGTACCATGACTTACATCTCAAATTTAAATTTGTCCTTGTGGAAAAACCAGTCATTAGAGATCATTTCTATATACTTGTAAATTCTCAACAAGCCAAATTCATTGTTTAGGACCTCCATAACCCAAATAAGCTTTTGAAAGCTTACAAAATTAAGGAAGATCAGTAGGAACCCCTGAGAAGGGGCTCCCTTATCTACCCCATTTACCCTTAGAGCTGTCGTGGGCTGTGCCTTTGGACTAGCCCTGAGGACTGCTCTGCATAGGCAGAATCGATCTAGATGAGGCTTTCACCTCATCCCCTCCTTTACTCTCCCCCCCCCAGAGTAATCAATTACTAGCTTTAGGTTGTAGCATTAAAACAATAACCAAGAGTCTTAAAATTTTCATAAGTGATCGCCAAATTGTTTTATCTGTAACACAAGCAATAAACTTCAGAAGACATCAATTGTGTTTCCAGATCATATAAAAATCACTGATAGAAGGGTAGGTTGGCTTACCAAGTGCAGACACTGACTGGTTTCTTTACTTTGACCCATCCCCCTTCACTCCCTCCCCATAGCTGTGGCTGTGGCTAAGTCTACATGATACTTCCAGGCTTTCTGTGCGAGATACGGGGCGCCCAAGGCCGTTATCAGTGGGGCCCAAGCTGTAGGTACTGCTCCTCTCCTCCCCCCTTTCCTGTGGCCAGGTAGGGAGGATTTGCAGGTGGTGGAAGAGTGAAACTCTCTTGTCCTACTCTGATGTGAGATAAGAGGGGTTAACAGGAAAATGGGCTGTTTGCAATCCCCTCACTGAGATAGCCTCTAGACTCAGGGGAAGGGATGTAGGAAGGGGGTGATGAGATTGTAAAGAGGTTTTTCAGAGCTCATTAACGATCAATCTCACACTTCCAGAATCCCCTAAGATAATTTTAGCTGTCCCTACCTTTTTCACTTTTCAGACAGACAGTCAACTAAATCAGTGCCTTTTCTTATGGTAACAAAACTCAGAAAATTCACAGTAGGTTTGGACATAGTTGTTATCAGTATCAAACTATTATTGCAACAAATTAGTTGCAAATGGAAATCTATTAGGCTTTCACAAAAGATTTTGCAAAACATTTCTTCCTAAGAGTATTTCTCTTTCTTAAAAAGCTTACAATTCATCCTGATGTTAAGAGGAGTAATCACTAAACCAAGTTGGTGTAAAATGTCTTTTAAGTATCACAAATCCCCAAAGTGTCATAAAACCAAAATTGTGAATCATCCCAAATTCCTAAGTACCACCCTACTCTAGTCGAAAAAGTGTTTACCATGGGAAGGAAGTTCAGTTTTTATAAGACAAGAACATACCCAATTAAATTAGCTTTGCCACAATAACAAAGTTTACCAGGCTTTAAAAAAATTGACTCAGTAGGAATTGCACAACAGAGAGAACTTTGCACAGGGCTGATGAGAATTTATGACTAGATGATTCCAAAAATCCTTGTTTAGTTAACACCTTAATAATCTGAGAGTAAAATTCTTTTTTTTTAAGGAGAGGCAATGGGGTTAAGTGACTTGCCCAGGGTCACACAGCTAGTAAGTGTTACATGTCTGAGGCTGGATTTGAACTCAGGTCCTCCTAAATGCAAGGCCAGTGCTCTATGCACTGTGCCATCTAGCTGCCCCTGAGAGTACAATTCTTAATCTAACAACAGTTAGATTATAAGAGAAATTGTTTTTCTAACCAGAGAGATGATGTAATTGTTTACCAAATTTCACAACATAAGAAAATTTTGAAACACCACCTTACCATAAGCAATTACCATGTATTTAAACTTGGAACAAAACCAAATAATTACCAATCAGGCAACCTTAGTTTACTTGGATGAGCAGATCAGATTTGGATTCATAATCACACATGGTAATATTTAAAATTATCAGGCCCAGTACTCTTAGCACTTTAAAAGAAAAGATTATTATCCATAAATTCACGTGTTTTGTTTGTTTGTTTTTGATGAGGCAATCGGGGTTAAGTGACTTGCTAGTAAGTGTCAAGTGTCTGAAGGTGGATTTGAACTCAGGTCCTCCAACTCTAAGGCTCCTGGAGCTCTATCCACTGCACCAGCTAGTTGCCCCTTTTTTCACTTTTTTGTGAAGACACGTGGTGACAGTTCCTAGCTCCAAATAACCTTTTACTTCCTTAAAGAGCTAGACTTCCCTGTCCCTTTTACCTTTAAGACTTATCAGATAAACAGCTGCCCTAAGCATTCCAGCTCTCCATTTCCATCCCCCCTGGGAACTTTAAGCCTTGTGTACTAGGGAATATGTATAAAGTTTTAAGTTAACAATCCAGGTGCAGAGATGCAGCACAGGACATAGAGACTCAGAAAGCAAGGCTCTGAGGCTCTCCCAAAATAAACAGGGGCTGAGACCCATGTACCTGCCTCCGCAAATGTCCCACAGGGAAGGGAACAACACAGAGTGAAAGTTCACTCAAGCAGAGTGAGGTACCTTTTCTTTAAGTCTCTGAGACCAAATTTCTCACTAAGGTTGCCTTGTTTAGAAGTCCCCTTCACAGATCACTTTTCTTGGTCCTTTAGGTTATATTGAGGCCAGACACTTTTTCTTAAGATCTCCTCTTCTGACTTTCTTCCAATGCTGTAAGAGGCATCCTGCCCATCCTAGCAGCCTCTCATCACTCCTCTCAGGGTCCCAAGACAGAAAAGAGGAAAAAAATGTGATCGAAGCAGTGCAGGGGCATCCCTTTATACAAGGGCCAACAGTCCTACTGACCACCCAGAAGTCAGTGGAGCTTCAGACACTGCTGGCAGTGTGTGGGCACTCCTGGGTCCCATAGCTAGGAGACAGGAGGAGCAGAAAGGTCTGGGGAAGAAAACAAAGAAAAGGGCATTTCCTTTCATTCCTGTGGATGAGACAAAGTGGGGGGGATCCAATTGTTACTTGCGTTCTGGGTTTCAGCACCATTTTGTTGAGGTCAGATTCGGGAGAGTGGTTTGGATGTGAAAGAATGCACTTAGATGTTCTCTTTTAGCCATCGGGAGCATTATCAACCTGAAAAGTACACAGACCTTTACCATAGAAACTAGGCTGAGTAAAAGTACTGGTATTTGGGGGGGCTAAGCTTATATAGAGATGTTCAGGATGATGATAGAGTTTTAGGGTTTTAAGGTGGTTCAAAATAAGGTCGGAATAAGGAAGAAAGAGGGGACACAGGAAGAGGGAGACAAAAGGTATTCCTTTGGTAATTTTATGATAAAAGATAAGGAGAAGTTTTATGGGATTTCAAGATAAGAGGAGAAGGACTTTAGGATGCTTTCAAGGTACAGGATGAAATATCAAATGAGCCCCCCTCCCCCCAGGAGGGGCGTTACAATTACAGGAAAAGCAATCTTTAATATACTCCTTAAACCCTAGGGTACAATAAGCTGTATCCACATCACTAGGATTAAACAAGTGAATTTACATCTGCACCTCACAGTTCTGGGAAAGTTATAATCACTACCCCCTTAGAATCATATTAAACTGATTAATACTAATTGGAATAGACGAGGTGTCCAAACGAATTATTTCTCACAACAGACTATCAGTTACTGACCAAAAGTTCTGAAGGAATGATCCTTTGCCCCAAACGATAAAAAGTAATTAAAAAGAAACGTAAAACCAAAAATTTGTAGCGCAATATCACAGAAAGGGATTTCTCAGCATCCCTTCTTTTCCTGTTTGTACAACTTGTCTGTGTCATATTGAATTAATCCTTCCTTGAACATCTGGTTGAACTCATTGTAGATCAGTCTGATCTGGGGGTGTTTCTTTATGAGTTCAGCTACAGGTTATCCTTTCTTTCTGAAACTGAGTTATTGAAATTCTCTTTTTCTTGTTCTCCTTGGCAGCTGCCTGGCCACTGACAAGTCACTCCAAGTCACAACATCTGTGAAAATTGGAATTCCACATTGATACCACCTAACTTCCTGAGGTTGTGGTGAGGAGAGAGGGTTTGCATGTATGAAACTCTTACAGATATGAAGGTTAATTGATTGACTCCCGATGGAGAGCTCCCTCCTGAATCGGGGAGCCCTGACTTCCCTTCCAGCCTCTGACACATCCTGGTTATGTGACCCTGGAAAAATCGCTTAACCTTTCTGTGTTGCAGGCAACCCTCCCAGCCTGCTCTGAGGCACAGAGCACGTGTGGATCATCGGCCTCACTGGCAAATATTTTCTCACTACACATTCCTATCCTGATGAAAGAAACCATGCCGTGAGGTCAGTATGAAATCCAAGCAACCCGTCTTGGGTGGAGAAGGGGGTAGGAGAGATTTTCTGTTTCAGCTGGGAATTCCTAGAGACACAGGCTGTCCAGCTGAGCAACCTTGGGCAAGTGCCCTCCCACGTCAGGGCCTCAGTGTTCCCAGGTGTGAGTTGAGCTTGGCACCCTTCTTTGGGATGTGAAGTTTCTCTCCCTCCTTCTCTAATGTTCTCAAGAGTCTGAGGGTGAATCTTTAGTGAGGGACCATGCAGGGACATTGGTAGAGCCCTAAGGGAGAGAGAGGTTTGGAAAGAGAGGCATCTCTTTTTTTTTTTTTAGAAAGAATGGGTCTATATATGGATTATGCATGGTGGTACACAAGTTATAGCCATACTATACGTGTGGAGGGGTATACATGTGGATAGGATACACACAAGTTGGGACAACTCATGCCTCTGACATTGTAGGACGTTGCTACTGTCTATTGCCTCTCTGTATTTTCTTAGCACTTAGCACTGTACCTGGAACGTAGAGGTGCTCAATAATGTTTGTTGACTGACTGATTATGTCATTACACTGTTCTCAGTAGGTCTTATACCCTCTGGGTTTTTTTTTTAAATTTTATTTATTTATTTATTTTTTCCCCAGGTGCTTTTGAGTTGAAAATTTTTCTCCCTTTTCCTTCCCCCCACCCTCCCCAAGACAGCGTACAATCTGACATAGGCTTTACCTTTACATACCCAGTAAACATTTTCACATTAGTGAAGTTGTAAGTAAAAATTAAAACCAATACCAGGAACCATCAGAAAGATGAAACAGAATTCAACAGAAGGTAAAAATAACTGATAGCGATTTGACTTCCATAGTTCTTTCTTTGGATGTGGACAGCATTTTCCATCCCAAGGCTTCTGGAGATGTCTTAGATCCTCGTAATGCTGAGAAGGGTTCAGTTTAACATTCTTAGTCATTGCATGGCGTGGCTGTTATTGTGTACAAAGTCCTCTTGGTTCTGCTCACTTCACTCAGCATCAGACCATATAAGTCTTTCCAGATTTTTCTGACGTCAGCCTGTTCATCATTTCTTATAGCACAATAGTATTCCATTACATTCGTATACCACAATTTGCTCATTCTCCAATTGATGGGCATCCTCTGAATTTCCAATTCTTTGCCACCACAAAAAGAGCTGCTATGAATATTTTTGTACATGTGGGTCCTTTTCCTGTTTGTTTGATCTCTTTGGGATATATAGCCCTAGGAGTGCTATTGCTGGATCAAAGGGTATGCACATTTTTATAGCCCTTTGGGCATAGTTCCAAATTGTTCTCCAAAATGGTTGGATCATTTCCCAACTCCACCAACAATGTATTAGCGTTCCGATTTTCCCACATCCTCTCCAACATTTATCATTTTCCTGTTTTGTTATGTTGACCAATCTGATAGGTGTGATGTGGTACCTCAGAGTTGTTTTGATTTGCATTTCTCTAATCAATAACGATTTAGAGCATTTTTTCATATGACTATAGATGGCTTTAATTTCTTCATCTGAGAACTGTCTGTTCATATCCTTTGACCATTTATCAATTGGGGAATTGCTTGTGTTCTTATAAACTTGTCTTAATTCTCTATATATTTTAGAAATGAGGCCTTTATCAGAGAGACTGGTTGTCAAAATTCTTTCCCAATTTTCTACCTTCCTTCTAATCTTAGTTGCATTGGCTTTGTCTGTGCAAAAACTTCTCAATGTAATGTAATCAAAATGATCCATTTTGCTCTTCATAATGTTCTCTATCTCCTGTTTGGTCATGAATTCTTCTGTTCTCCATAGATCTGATAGGTAAACTATTCCTTGTTCTCCCAGTTTACTTATGGTATCAGCCTTTATATCTAAGTCCTGAACCCATTTTGACTTTATTTTGGTATATGGTGTGAGATTTGGGTCTATGCCTAGTTTCCGCCATACTCTTTTCCAGTTTTCCCAGCAGTTTTTTTCAAAGAGTGGGTTCTTATCCCAGAAGCTGGGGTCTTTGGGTTTATCAAATAATGGATTACTACAGTCATTGACTACTGTGTCTTGCATATTTAACCTATTCCAGTGATCCACCTCCCTATTTCTTAGCCAGTACCAAGCAGTTTTGATGATTGCTGCTTTATAATGCAATTTAAGATCTGGAATTGCTAGGCCACCTTCCCCTGCATTTCTTTTCATTAGTTCCTTTGATATTCTGGACCTTTTGTTTTTCCAAATGAGTCTTGTTATTATTTTTTCTAACTCTAGAAAATAATTTTTTGGTAGTTTGATTGGTAAGGCACTGAAAAAGTAAATTAGCTTAGGTAGGATTGTCATTTTTATTATATTAGCTTGGCCTGGCCATGAGCAACTGATGTTTTTCCAGTTATTTAGATCTGATTTTATTTGTGTGAAAAGTGTTTTGTAATTGTGTTCATAGAGTTCCTGGGTTTGTTTTGGGAGGTAGACTCCTAAATATTTTGTAACGTCTACAGTAAGTTTAAATGGGATTTCTCTTTCTATCTCTTGCTGTTGGGTGTTGTTGGTAATATATAGAAATGCTGATGATTTATGTGGGTTTCTTTTATAGCCTGCAACTAAAGTTGTTTATTATTTCAAGTAGCTTTTTACTTGAGTGTCTAGGATTCTCTAAGTATATCATCATGTCATCTGCAAAGAGTGATCGCTTTGTTTCTTCTTTGCCTGTTCTAATGCCTTCAATTTCTTTTTCTTGTCTGATTGCTAAAGCTAAGGTTTCCAGTACAATATTGAATAACAGTGGTGATAATGGACATCCTTGTTTCGCCCCCGATCTTATTGGAAATGCTTCTAGCCTGTCACCATTACATATAATGCTTGCTGAAGGTTTTAGATAGATGCTGTTTATTATTTTAAGGAAGACTCCATTTATACCTATGCTTTGTAGTGTTTTTCATAGGAATGGGTGTTGTATTTTATGAAAAGCTTTTTCTGCATCTATGGAGATGATCATGTGGTTTCTGTTGGTTTTGTTGTTGATATGCTCAATGATGCTGATAGTTTTCCTAACATTGAACCAACCCTGCATTCCTGGTATAAATCCTACCTGGTCATAGTGTATTATTCTTGTGAGAAGTTGCTGCAATCTACTTGCTAGTATTTTGTTTAAAATTTTTGCATCTATATTCATTAGAGAAATTGGTCTATAATTTTCTTTCTCTATTTTGACTCTTCCTGGTTTAGGTATCAACACCATATTTGTATCATAAAAAGAATTTGGTAAGACTCCTTCTTCACCTATTTTCCCAAATAGTCTATATAGTATTGAATTAATTGTTCTTAAAATGTTTGATAGAATTCACATGTAAATCCATCTGGCCCTGGAGATGTTTTCCTAGGGAGTTCATCAATGGCTTGTTCAATTTCTTTTTCTGAGATGGGGTTATTTAAGTATTTTACTTCCTCTTCAGTTAATCTGGGCAATTTATATTTTTGTAAATATGTATCCATTTCACTAAGATTGTGAAATTTGTTGGCATATATTTGGGCAAAATAATTCCTAATTATTGTTTTAATTTCCTCTTCCTTGGTGGTAGCTTCGCCCTTTTCATTCTGGATACTAGTAATTTGGTTTTCTTCTTTCCTTTTTTTAATTAAATTAACCAAAGGCTTATCTATTTTATTGGTTTTTTCATAAAACCAGCTCTTAGTTTTATTTATTAGTGAAATAGTTTTCTTCATTTCAATTTTATTAATTTCTCCTTTGGTTTTCAATATTTCTAATTTGATGTTTAGTTGAGGATTTTTAATTTGTTCTTTTTCTAGTTTTTTTAGTTGTGTGCCCAATTCATTAATCTCCTCTTTTTCTATTTTATTTATGTAAGCATTTAGAGATATAAAACTTCCCCTTAGAACTGATTTCACTGTATCCCATAGGTTTTGGTATGTTGTCTCATTATTGTCATTCTGTTGAATGAAATTACTGATTGTTTTTATGATTTGTTGTTTGACCCAATCATTTTTTAGGATTAGATTATTTAGTTTCCAATTATTTTTTAGTCTATCTTTCCATGGCCCTTTATTACATAGAATTTTTATTGCATCATGATCTGAAAAGGATGCGTTTAATATTTCTGCCTTTCTGCATTGGATTGTGAGGTTTTTATGCCCTAGTACATGGTCAATTTTTTGTGTATGTACCATATACTGCCGAGAAGAAAGTACATTCCTTTCTATACCCATTCAGTTTTCTCCAGAGGTCTATCATACCTAACTTTTCTAATGTTCTATTCACCTCCTTAACTTCTTTCTTGTTTATTTTGTGGTTAGACTTATCTAGTGCCGAGAGGGGGTGGTTCAGGTCCCCCACTAGTATAGTTTTGCTGTCTGTTTCTTCCTGTAACTCCCTGAGCTTCTCCTGTAAGAATTTGGATGCTATACCATTTGGTGCATATATATTTAATAATGATATTACTTCATTGTCTATGGTGCCTTTTAGCAGGATGTAGTTTCCTTCCTTATCTCTTTTGATTCCACCTATTTTTGCTTTTGCTTTGTCTGAGATCAGGATTGCTACCCCCGCTTTTTTCACTTCAGCTGACGCATAACATATTCTGCTCCAGCCTTTTCCCTTTACCCTGTATGTGTCACTCTTTTTCAAATGTGTTTCCTGTAAACAACATATTGTAGGTTTATGGTTTTTAATCCGTTCTGCAATCCGTTTCCGTTTTATGGGAGAGTTCATCCCATTCACATTCTCAGTTATGATTACTGTCTGTGTCTTTTTCTCCAGAGAGGCATCTCTTGACACCACTCACAGGCCACTGCCCTCAGGTTGGGTGCTGGTCCAGCCTCCCCTGGATCCATCCCTGTGACAAGCTGTCCTCAGGTCCCTGCTAGTTTATAGGCCCTGTTGGAATGAAGGGAGGCACTGGTGAGTCATTGCAGGATGAACCACAGAAGATTTGCTTGGCCATAGTGGGAGAAGGAGCTGAATTAAGGAGACGCCTGGAGGACAGACACACAGGC